TAACTAAACAGTTTAAAAGTAAAACTCCTGTCAAATAATCACAAGACATGATTTTGACAAACATTTTTACATTGTAACCTGCCCATAACAATTATTTGAACAAATACAAAAGGCAGTCAACAGACCACTCAGGCTTATCAGCACAAAAATATATATAAGTACAATGAAAAAAAGCCTTTTTAAACTTTTGCAACCAGAAGCTGCTCTTCATATTAGTGACAAACAATAACAGTAACAACAGCTTTTTGACAAGTTTAAAATGTCTTTAAAATACATTCAAAATGTTTAAAAATAAACTACAAAAGTTTATTTAAAGTGTAAATTAAAATATAGCTGTATCTGCAACTGTTTTTGATAATGTTTTGAACTTTTAAAATATTGCATGGTAAAAACAGAAGCTGCACTTCAGTTTAGTGACAAACTTTGGTGTTTTTTGACGAGTTACTTTCATTTTTGTCTTCTAGTTTTCATTTTAAGGTTTCCATTCTCGGCAGGTTTCTAAGGTTCTCCTTCTACATATTCAAAACAGTTGTTAAACATCTGGGTGGCACACTACTGCTACTAGTGGTGAGAAAGTGTATTGCACCTTATTCAAAATCAATGCGGTCCCGCAGCCCTCTGCGGCCCAAAGTTAAAAACTGTTGTTCTTTTGAGGCCCTCAAGGTGGCGCTTGCGGCCCATAGGTTAAGAATCTGTGGTTTACAGCACACGCAATTTCCAGTTAGCTTCTTAGCTTAGCCTCCGTCACAGCGACAACACACACATGCTTCAGCAGAGGCCACGCCTCCTACAAGAAACGCTTCTCTATGCATCAAGTCCAGACTCTTGTACGAAGCAAAGTGAAGGACAGGGTCTGGTTTAAACCAGGCTAGTGTGGAGCAGACATAGTCACATGACTCGTGTTTTAAAAATAGCCTGAGTGATGGTCCCCATTGCACTTTCCTCACACAAAGCTTTTTAAAACAGCAGCAGACATTATTAGCTCAGCTCACCAGTGGTGTCACTTTTATACCTTTGTCAACTGAGAATATCTACTTCTTTTCGGTCAAAAGAAAAATTATGAACTATAATGAAAGGAAAGTTAGCGGCGTAACCTCCCCTCTTTGTGCTGAACTGTTTTGTTGATACATAAAACAACAAAGTTGTTTCCTGTCACAGGTGAGCACTCTGCTGTCAGGTATGAACTAAACTGTCGGCAAAAGAGAAACTAAAACTGAACGTTTATAAAACATGTTTGAACACTGTGGTCTCACCTTCAGCCTCGAGCTGTTTGAGCTGCTGTCCAGTTCGCAGGAAGTACTTCCTGATGACAACGAAGATGACAGCCAGCGGGATGGCAGCAATAAAGATGTACGGTCGAATGATAGAAACAGTGAAGATGCACCCGATGACGAGCAGGGTCAGCTGGTGAGGGTCGAAAATCATCAGTCAGGATTAAAAAGTTATTCAGAGTGATACTTTTACACTGATTAGTTTCAAGTTTCGCCTCCACAAAATAAAATTACCTTAAAAAGCATCAAAGCAAAATTTCTAAGAGACTGAAAGACTTCTGTATGTGCATGAGCAATACACCCTGGAATTATTATTATTTTTACATAGTTGTGCAGGAATGAATGATGTGTTTATCATGTGAGTTTGTGGTGCACCATGAGCTAACATGTCAGAATAACTCCAGTAAAGTTTGTCTTTAACGTTAGATACCTGTACGAGGTCAAAAAGCACCAGTGGGAGCATGTCATCTATGATGGTCATGTCTTTGGTGAATCTGTTCATTATCCGGCCTACAAAGGAAACAAACAAGAAACTTAGAAACATTCTTCTGAATGCAATATAATAAAAAGATTCATTTATTGTAAATAAAATCCCGGTTTTAAAAAGTTATCTAATATCTAAATAAAAACTAAATGCATTGATTTGCAAACCTCACAAACCCATATTATTATAATGTAACAGAGTAAACACATCAAATGATTAAAATAAAAAAAACTGTTGCATTTGAGGAAAATATATACAATTAATAACATTTAATGGCAGCAACACGTCTTACAGTTTGAATAAAACAGCTGAAGAAGTAGTTTTCAGCTAATTAAGTTAATTATCTATATTGCGAATAAGCTCTGGGTTTATGAGGTTTCCTTTAGTGACCTGTTTGTTTCTCTGATGTTAAAGATTAAAGAATAAAACCTGTTTTCATGGTGTTGAGCACAGACATGGGGGCTCGCAGCACAGCGCCAAGCATCTGCTCATGTAGTCGTTTGGACACAGTCAGCAACGTGTGGACCAGAGGAAGACCCCTGAAGGCCCCCAAGGCCAGTATGCTGTCTGAATGGGCCACAAAAATGTAGATGATGTAGTAAGCACTGGTTGGAGTGAAGATGACGGCCAGGTGAACGGGGGGCGACGAGGCATTGGGGTGCTGCTCATCGATGTAGTTGGGTGAGTTTGGGTTGGCTCCGTCTCTCCAGATCTTACTGGTTGAACAGAGGAAAAAACTGGGGATTAAAATATGGACTAATTTTCTGTTTGAAACCTGAGGCAGAGCTGGAACATGCACACAGAGACTAACAAACCCAGTAAGCTGAGCAGACTGAAATAAATCACTCAAGTTTTAAAGGAGACCAATTATGGGTCCTAGAAATTTTTATGTTATTTCTGTGGGCTATCCAGACA